CGCTGCGTTGGCTTTGCCAATACCCATTCCTTAGCTTCTCCCTCGGGACAAGAGGTAGAGAAAGCAACCTGGGACTCGGGTTCAACAGGAGCCGTCCCGCAGTACGTTTGTATCTCGGTAATCTACAACAATAAATTTTCATCTTTCTTGTTGCAGAACGTGAAAGGCAATTTCATTTTTACTTTTTCCTTCTTCTTGGGTTTTTCACGTTGTGTGGTGTGTTTTTTTTGCCCGTTTGGAGACTTCGGCGGACTCGAAGGTTCTCCTTTTTTCTCTTCCGATTTCTGAGTCTCTACATCAAGAGACTTCATGGCATCTCCTAATAATTTCGTTGTTTTTTCTTCTTTTTCAATTTTGACTTCCTCAACCACCTAGTACTTTCCTTTGACCAGATTTGTGATTGTCTGTAGTCCTGCGGCCACATCATCAATCTGTGCCTGTATCTGTTCACCATACTGATCAATTTTCATTTCAAGGTAGGCAAGGTAAGTCACAAGCTGAGCCAAAGAAATTTCCTGCTCTTCCCTTTCGGTCTTGACAACAGTTTGTCTGATTTCTTTGATTTTCTGTTCTTGTTATTCACTTTTTTTCTTCCTCAATTCTTCTTTCTTTTTCTTCTCTTTCTCAAGTGCTTCTTCTAACTGTCTGGTATTTTCATCCACAGTTTCTTCAGACAGTTATTTTTTTCTCTTCTTTCTGGTCTACAATCTTCCTAACCTGCTCAATGACATACTCGTCAAATGTCTGTCGACACTTGATTAGTACATCCTGAATCTGTATGATGTCGGTGCCTAATTTAGACTGTTCGATAACAACTCGTGTTGCCTTCAAGTCAAACTTTTCTCGCACATATGCCTCGACTTCGGCACCTGCACCACGAAGGTCAGAAATCAATTGGTCTAAGTGGGCATTCAAACATTCTTCCGCTCATCCACTTGATGTCTGGTTCGAAGGTCATGGGTCTCCTCATCAATACCGAAGATGAGTGAGACTGGATAAAAGAGAAAATGAATAAAACGAGTAAGCACCGACAATTTTGGAGAATTCCAGAGAAAAGACATCGTGACGTGCGTCTGCCGCACAATAAATAATCAATAAACAGCAATGGATTCCACGGCCGCACTATTCTACAACAGAAAGGATTTCGATGACCGAAGGAGAAAATAATTACAACTATTTCTACTTCTAACTTTTGTTGTTCTTTTGTCTGTGTGATGACGTCCTATTCGAGAGTGTACATGTACCACTTCAGGCCCGTGTGATCAGATACAACACACAAGTAAGTACGCACAGCACCACAACACAGCAAATGACAAAGTAAGTATGCCAATAACAACAACAATCAATTTGTCAGCACCCTTCTTCTTTATGTCGAGTCATCTAGGTGTCAATGCGATAATGCACCCTCCTTGACAGCTAGAACTACAGCTGTTTTAGTTGTTCAATCAGCCGTACCACCGTCGTCTTTGGAGTGCTTCTCTTACTTGGCAGCCACCTGCCTGCCGCGTGTCATCCTTGGAGTGCTAACATAGCAGATCCTGCCACGTTAGCACTAGTGTCCAGTCAATCAGTAAAGGGATGCCACGACAACAAATATGTGCTCCGTCCTTCCCACGTGCCACTTCCACACGTCATATCGTGATACCGTCGCCGTTCCAGCCAATCGGACAATGCCACGTCAGCCAATGGAGACCGATGCCACGTTAGCAGGAAATCAACACCTTAAGAAGACAAGTGTGATGACTTTCCTCTGCCACGTCAGCAATCAGTCCTGACCTTCCCAAAGGCCATTTCAGCTTTCGTAACAGACCTGGTCGTGCATAAGCTGCTAATGCAGCGTGAGAGTGCCACGTCAGCAATCACCAACAACCAGGTCTTCAGACGCGGCACATGGTATGCCACGTCAGCAAGGGATCGTGATGCCACTTCACTATCGCGATCCAAGCTGGCACACGGTAACTCTCGGTCGCGGTCCCTACTGCCACGTCAGCAGCCACATCAGGATCTTCTCTCACCACTGAGTCACCAGTGAAGTCTCTACCCCGTCAGCAACTCCGACGGTAACTTCTTGTCAAGTCATCACTACCTCAGCACACGTGTGCATGCCCACTTACCTGCGCGCCACCTGGCGCGTGCGCACGTGTGACTGTCCTCGTCGTCAGGAGAACTGCTCCGATACCAAATTGAAATGAACCCAGATCGTGAAGACAGTCGTCAACAATGCAAGTCTAGATGAATGTCAACCAGCTGATGATTATCAATAATCGTATTCGTTTCCAGATATCCAAGAGAAAGAAGACATACACATACGAGGTAGATGGGAGGGAGAAAAGACTTAGAGTGGGGGAAGATAAAAACAATGCCCACTGGCTCTTCGGGGTCCCTCCACAATCACCACCTCAATAATCAATGATCTGAACGAGTATCTGAAGTAACCTCAATGTGCCACGTGGCACGTCTAATCAGTCCCTCATCAGCGTTGGAGCAATGTCGGCATGAAGACAACCACGCAAGCATCCACGATCTCTCCACAGTCTTGATCTTCTCCTGAATGACGATAGTCAGAACAACAACACAAGTCACATAGCTTGGCCTCGTCAACCAGTGGTATACGTGGCAGCTCTCACATCAGCCACCATTAGTACATGTGGCAGCAGCCACGTCAGTGACAGCGCATGGCAGTTGCCACGTCAGCATGCCAAGAAGACAGGTGCAAGCCAGCCACCATGCCGGAACAGCAGCGCGTCGCCGTAGACACAATGCCAGCACAGAGCCCACGCTTAGCCAGCTTCGCTGCGTCGAGCCAGAGTCGTCGTCAACGCGTGAAGACAGCATCGACGTAAGACAGAATGAATGTCAAAGCCAGGAAAGTCAGCGCTTATGTAGCGTTGACTCGGGGTCTGGGCCCCGGATGCTACCACCCTCAGCCGTCCTGATTTCGATGCAAACTAAGGCCCAGATTGGTCCGAAACCGAATTCTCTCCGGCCTGGATGCTTGTCTGGGTACCTGCACACAACAAGTGAGTGTATCCAACCAAGGGCCTGGGTGCGGTAACTTTGACTCTACAGTTGACTTTGACCCTTGAATTTCCTGTGTGCAGCGTTCGGTCACACAGCCAAACGTGACAGACTCGGGCCTGGGCGTGTCTTGGTCACACAGCCCAGCGCAGACCAACTCATGTTTGCGTTGCCTGGGGCTGAGTTCTGGGCCACAGGCTACTTCTGTACAGGGTTACTGCAATGGGTGTTCATGGAGTTGTCTCCCTGACTCATTGGGTGGTGGGAACCAACTACTGTATTTTCAAATCCAAGGATACAGAAAGTCGCACAAAATATTTACCAGATGTTGTAATCTGAAGACTAATTTAGATGATTATATGAGTACAAAACAAAGAAGTCGATTGTAAACTTTGACCATCAATCTATGAAAAAGAGAATTACGAATTGAGAATCAGACAAGAATCAGATTTACAGATCGTACGTCGAATGTTGAGATCTGCAACATTCAATTCATGATCCAATAAGATATCATGAAATAGACTAGGTTTCGATTTACAAAACAAACTTCAAGCAACACCACCAATTAGACATCCCTAACAATCAAATCATCTATCGGAGTAGTACTCGAGGTTAAATTTTGAAAAAAATGCTGCACTTAGAGCTCCCGTTGCTACACGACGCCGCCTTGAACTCCATTTGAAGTCACCAATCGCTGCAGACTATCACACACCGCTCAGCTCCCGGAGTCCCCTTGTCCAGCTGCCCAACCGCTGTCCAGACCAGACCCAGCCCCTGCCTCTTCCTATAGAAGGAGCCACTCCTCCTCCCCACAGTCGGTGCTAGTATAGCCCTACGGCAAAGTGCACCAATCAGAAGAGATTAGTGGGACGCCCCCGCCTCCTTGTTACTCCCTGAACGCAGTTGCATTGTGAATGACCATGTCAAGCCCATCAACACAGCTTCACAAAGAATTCAGTCCAAATCCAACGACCCATGACAGCAAAGAACCGGAGAAGCGAAAAACAAGGATTCAACACAAAAGACAAAGACAGTGCCCTCGTAACCCTATGCCACATGGCACCCTCCCCCACACGGTTACTCAAACCACACACCCCTCTTGTCTCCACATCCACGGAAGTCTCTAAGAAGCGCCATCACCACACACGGTATTGGCCCGCCATGCCCTGGTGAAAGAGCCATCGCGGCTTCGTGTTAGTGCACCCGTTGTTTTGACATGGGCGGACGCAGCGTTCCCGGTGGCGCTGCGCCCGCCTTCGCCATGATCCAAAGGCCTCAATAGACTGATGTCTTATCCTGGCCTTTGCCAGGCCAGCCTTCGTTTTTCTTCGTCAAAATCAGGCTGGATTGCTACCCTAAGATTTTCTTTGGTTTATGCCATGACTTTACTCGCCGAACTGTTCGATCCACCTCTCACTTCCTCATTCGTACAGCACCATATGACCCACAGCAGGGTGGCCCTCAGCACCTCCGCGGCCCTCACGTCCCCTTCCTGACAACCCTCCCTCAGCGGTTAATGGAAGGCCGAAAATTCGGGTTTTTTCCCCGCATCACTACAAGCAACATTGTCAAAAATTTTCCGAACAAACTATGCAGGGTCATAATACAAACATCAAAAAACGGAACAAAGGAGAAAAAAACAAAAACAAAAAACTCAAGAGCAAACTATGCAGGGTCATAATACAAACATGAAAAAAAAAGGAAAAAAAAAGAATAAAACCCTATTCGGAGTAGCTTTCGGAGTTCGCTGGATCTTTCTTCGAGTCCAACGTTCTTGGCAACTTTTTCGTTACTGGTCCAAATCATACTTGCAACCGCACGAGCCGCACATTCGTGCAGAGTTCCGTGCGGGTGGTGCCTGTGCAGAATCGTGCAGGTTTTTTATTATTATTACTATTGTTTTATCTTTTTGGGGGAGGGAGGACGGGGGGAGGGAGGACGGGGGGAGTATGACAGGAAGATGGGGATATGGCGAGGACGGGGGGATATGGAGAGGAGGAGGAGGATGTGGACAAGGAGGACGACGAGGATAGCGAGGACGAGGAGGAGGAGGAGGAGAGATGGACGGAGGGAAAAGAGGAAGGGCAGGAGGAGGAGGACGAGTGGGAGGAGGACGAGACATGAACGGCAAGGAAGGGGAGGACACGAGGAAGGGCAGGAGACGAGGAGGCATGGAAGATGAGGAAGTACGAGGAGGAGGAGGAGACAAGGAGGATGAGGAAGGGCAGGAGGAGGAGGACGAACAGAAGGAGGACGAGTCGGAGGAGACGGAAAGGAGAAGGGAGGAGGAGACATGGAGGATGAGGAAGGGGAGGAAGAGCAAGGTGAGGGAGCACTCCTGTAATTTTTTTTTCATCCCGCTAATAATTTTGGTGGKGGGCCTCAAATGCACCGTTTCGACCCCGACCTTCTTTTTTTTCTTCTGAGGGGGGTGTTAGGTCGTTACCCGCACACGTCGTGCACCGCACGGGATCGGTTGGGCGCGTGCGCCGCACGTAGGGAACCGCCCGCCTGGCGTGCGCTTGCAAGTATGGTCCAAATACATCTGTGAGGATTGAGCCCTCAAGTAGGGGCCTTGCCATGATGTACATGTTCTGGGCTAAGGCCCCAGCAAGCCTCGTGCCCGCCCTAAGTGAAGGCGGGCCAGCAAATCAACAAGAGCCCTTTGTGCCAACATTTCACGAAGTGGGGTTCATACAGTTGCAGCACGCCAGTTGGTTGGAGTGCACCGAGTCTCGGATTTCAGCAAATGCTGAAAACCCAGGGCCTCTGAGTTAGTTAGGCCCTGGGYACTTGAACGTTAGGCCGACAATGCATGCTGGGTATAGAGGCCGAAAATGCCAAAGGGAAATCGGCCCACTATCTGAATCTGGCCGCAGGCCTTGATGAAGGAGGCGCAACTGCATTGCCCCAGGGCCCAACTGTATCGGGCTGGGTTCAGCCTCTGGGCCCCGGTCACAGGCTGAAGGGAGGCCGCCCACACGCTGCACTGGCATATAGGCAAGCAGGGCGAGTGGGCAGGGATCTTGGCCAATGCTGGCATTGCAGGCACGCTGCGCAGATGCATGTGTGCTGCGCAGTGCAGAGCTGCGCTGCGCTAAGGTGAAGCAGGCTAGCGCTAGGCGGTAGGGCGCTGCCTGCATGCAAGGCACTGGCGGCCATAGCCGGGCCGCATGAGGGTGCAGGAGAGGTGAAGGGCGAAGGTGGTTCTTCGGAGGTGAAGAGCGTTGTGTGGGTGAAGAGGACACGTACCTGGAGGAGGTGGAGGTCGGCATTGGTGTTGACATCATCACTCGCTGGTAGTCAAGTTGTCTGGTTGCTTTCATTGCTGTAGTTGTAGGCTAGGCTGTAGAGTAGATAGGGCGCCTGGCGCCATTCATAAGAGAGAGCTACATTGGGTTATGCTGTTGGTGTTGCCCTGTTGGGCATGGACATTGACTCACTATTCTTCTGTATCATTCTTAATTGGATGGTTACTCGGTTCCATTGTGCTATCTGCTTTGGCCTTGACTACTTGGACTTCAGTGTGATATTGCATTCTGGATTTCTGTGCTTCGTCCATATTCATGTTCCTTGCAATTTGGTATCAGAGCTGGTACGATTCGCCATTTACCTTCGGCATGCTGGCGTTATACAGACTTGGTGCGTTGACGATGCTTCTTCGCAGTGGGTACTTGTGACGTCAGGCCACGTTAGGTGCACGCCCTGGGTAGAGAGGGGTGCACCAGAAGGCTATTACGGCAGTGTATGCCGTGGGTTACAGCGGAATGTTTGATTGATGATGAGAGCATGCTTATGTGGCATTGGACTAAGGTGGCACTGCATTGCATTGTGGGTGGTACCGAGGTCATGACCGGTCATCAAATGCAACATCAGCTCAATTGGTGAGAAAATCTGTGGTTGGGGGCAGCTATCTCCAGGTATGTTGATCCCTTACCTTATCTACMTTCTYAATCTCTTCTTACCGTGAGGAAGTGAGTCCAACTTGAGAGTCCTCTCCTTGGTGAGGTGTCGTGAGCGCGCTACCTTGAGAGACGACAATCTTCACGGAAGCATCTGGAAGGAGAAAGGGCGGTGCCTCTGAAGGGCCCTGGTCGAAGCACTGGGTCACGGTCACCATGCCAACCCAATGGGAGTAGGTCACGCATGCGATGGCTGTTGTCCATTAAGGCACTTYGCTGCGCCAAATAGAAGTTTTGCCAAGTGTGCCAGCCTTGTATGAGACGCTTACCAGACCGTCTATAAACATTTCTGGTTGGGTACTCAGAATGATTCTGGCTGTGATCGTCGTCCYGACTGCGACGTTAAAGAATTCCTGAAGAGATGGGGGCGCTYTTAATAATCCTCCTGATCAGCCAGATCATCCGGGTGTAAGGCTCGTTTCCGTACGAGGGTAAATAAGAGTGGRCTGGCTGGCTTACTTGGCTCTGACKTGGGCACARGGGTGGGCCGATACACACACGAAGACACTGCTCGCTCAAWGATGYTGTCCGGTATGTTGGATTGAGGGGAAGGGTAGGTTCCAGTTGAAGCTCATCTGTATACACAACCATACCCATCAATCATACATCTGCTACATGGTCATKKTGTATTCTTGATTAGTTGGTGGAYAGACTGCTAACACCTCACARACARATTAGATTAGGACTGTAGTAYGCTACCATWTCCAGTTYTCTCTAATGCTGGCTGTAAGTGAACTAATCAGAGTACATCTAGACTATGTAGACAATCTGTGTGAMTRTTGTAGACATGCCACTTGATCGGTACAGTAGGGGRCYTRCCRRACACAACCATATTTAGAAAATTAGGTGCCGGTCAGACACATGCTGTGGTAGGACTYCACTAGGGGGTTCTARTAYAGATAATGTTTGCCTAATTCATGAACRGGTCARACGTCGATGAGGAGAGAGTTGACGATCGTAGACTAACACGGGCAASGTCACGTAGGATCCCGCAYGTGTTCYAGGCCYTACAACCRGAAGACGAAAGACGSMTTCGTGCCGAACGCAGAGCCCGTGCTCTCGYAGCATCGAGAGAGGCAGCAAACGTTGCAGGTAGGGAACAGGCTGCAGCAGCAGCCAGGGCAGCAGCCATGTCTTCTGCAGCAGCATCCTTCGCTGCAACTTCTGTTGCGTTCTCGTCTGGACCCCAGTTTGGAATGCCAACAGGGTCCACGGGCACTTCCAGTTCTGTAGGATCACCTTATACACATCTAGATGTGTATAAGAGACAGCAGCCAGGGCAGCAGCCATGTCTTCTGCAGCAGCATCCTYCGCTGCAACTTCTGTTGCGTTCTCGTCTGGACCCCAGTTTGGAATGCCAACAGGGTCCRCGGGCACTTCCAGTTCYGTAGGATCACGACAGTCTACAAGTCAAATGGCGGGCTCGCAGTTCAGCCCGTTGACTCCTCGCGAAAGGGAGATTAGAGAGCTCCAACAGGTCGAACGGATCCATGAACAGTTAGAGAGGGATCTGAAGAAAGTTACCGACAGAGAAAGGGAGATTAAAAAACAGAACAGCCAGGCTTGAAACTCTAGAGGCTGACAAAGCTAAGTTGGAGGGCTTAGATGATTCGGGAATGAATGAGCCCATGAAACTGTTGAGGAAGAACATGCTGTCACTGCATGCGCACGTGGACAACAGGTTGGACTTCATGCAGAGCACTTTGGACCAGATCCTGGACGTTTTGACAAGGCCAGGATATAGGCTACCAGCACAATCGCCGTTGCCGTTATCGGCGATGTCAGGCCACTTTCCAGTTCAAGCTGGTACACAGCCAAGTGGTACATCTGCAGCAGCCTCACAGACTGTTGCATCTTCTTCTTCGGGTCCAGCAGTGATAGCTACATCACCGCAACAACCTGTTCAGCAATCTGGACAAACGCAAGGTCAATGGTATCCTAAGACCCCGATGAAACCGCCTCTTGCCTTCTCAGGCGAGAGAAAGGACGAGGAACTCAACACATGGTTGAGAACGGTCCCGGTTTGGGTGAAGGCAAAGAGGACCTTGCCTGAGGACGAAGTGGTAACTGATGCATCCTACCTTGAGGGTAAGGCAGCCAAGTGGCTAGATGGAGTAGTTGTAAAGGCCAGGTACGGGCGACGCATGGCGGACTGGGCTAAGTCTCTGACGTTAGACCAGTTCATGGAAATGGTAGAAGCTCGATGGCATAATCCACARAAGGCACAAAAGGCCACTGATGCCATTAACAAACTAGACCAACGAAAGTTCAGGTCAGTTAGAGAGCTTACGACTACTGTTGAGAGCCTGATCCTCGTCCCATGCATAACCTACAGTGACCATTTCCTGTTAACAACGTTTGTTAGATGTTTGCCCGAGAACATCAGAAACTTGCTGGCCAGCGAGGCACGCACATAGTATCATTCGTTTGAGACATTGTCTAGGAAGGCTTTAGATTTAGAGGCCACTCTAGGCAATGCTCAACCCACCTTACAGATTGACTCAAAGAAGAAGAAGAGTCCTCAGGAGTGGAAGAATAAGGGAGCAAAGTTGATGATGGTTGAGTCTGATGGAACTCAAACTGAGATTGACGAACTCTCTGACCTGATGGACTATTCAAAGTATGACGGCGAGGAAGTAGCTGAGGGTAGCACCCTCGCCGCAGTAGTCAAGACTAAGGCGGCTGGCCGAGGGAAGGGCCAACCTAGGGGTCAAGGGAAGGCCGCCTCCAATTAGACCAAACAGGCTGAGTGGGTTAAGGCAGGTCTTGATCAAGACGTGTGGCGTGACCGCCGAACGCGTGGCACTTGTATCAACTGCGGGGAATACGGACACTCGCAGTACAAGTGCCAGAACGCTAAGGTTACGCAGAAGGTTGCTCCGAAGATGGGGGCAACTTATTCCCAGGCTTCTAGCTCGGGAAACACGTGACGCCAGTGGAAGTATTAGCTGCTTCTACTCAAGATGAAGTAGGATTGATACCCTCCCTACTTCATGACAAGGCTAAGGCTAATGACCCCTTAGTCACCCCGCAGACACAACTAGACAAAACTATGCTCTGTACGTTAGATGTGTCTGAAGCCTTAGAGGACTTGGAGAGTGAGTGGTCAAACAAGGACCCTCGCGAGTCTTGGGTGGCGCTGAGGAAAGGTCCTAGAGGGGAGCATTTCATGGTGGAAGTCGATGTAGGAGGCCGCAAATGTGGTGCCTTCATAGACATAGGCTCCACGCGGAATTACAGAAGTCGCGATTGTTTGGAAAGGCTGCACCTACAGGACCGGGTACGGCACCTAAGTAGACCTGTAGCATCTACTTTGGCCAACAAGGAGTGCATGATTGTAACAGACTACATCAAGGACGTAGTCTGTACCTTCTCCTATGGAGGAGGTGAGCTTAACCATAATATCTCGTTCTTGGTTAGCGACGACTTGCCATTCGAAATGTTGTTAGGCATGTACTACCTCGAAGTTGCTAAGCCCCAGTTCGACTGGGATAAGGTGCTCAAGCATAAGTTGCCCGATGGCTGAACTGTCAGATTGACTAAGTTCAAGGCCAGTAGTATTATAGATACCTATGGCTGCTTGTGCGCATCAGCATTCTACAACTACTACAAGCAAAACGAAGAGGAGGGTATGTACCTTGTTTATGTCTCTGAGAAGGGGGAGGCCGTAAAAACACCCCCAGAGATAGAACGCGTTGTTGCTAAGTTCCCTGATCTGTTCGGGGAGCACACAGGAGTTGTTGAAAGGGAAGTCGTCCACGCTATATAAATCATTCCAGGGAGTAAGACCCCAAAGGGAAGGATCTATAGGATGGCCCCCGCCGAGTTAGATGAACTTTGGCAACAGCTTAAGGAGCTGACAGAGAAGGGTTGGATTCAGCCTAGTACTTTTCCTTACGGATCACCCATACTATTCGTACCGAAGAAGGGGGGTACTTTAAGGATGTGTATTGATTATAAAGGCCTCAATGCCATCACTGTGAAAAACTCAGATAGGGTACAGGGATGCAAGTACTATAGTAAGATAGACTTGAAATCCGGATATCACCAGATCGCAATAAGACCTGAGGACCAACACAAGACAACTTTTCAGTTTAGATATGGTCTGTATGAGTTTGTAGTGATGCCTTTCAGTCTTTGTAATGCGCCGGGTACGTTCCAGCACGCTATGAATCGGATCTTCCATGACCATTTAGACAAGTTTGTCGTGGTATACCTTGACGACATTCTGATCTTTAGTAAGTCTGCCGAGGAGCACGCACAACATGTTGAGACGGTTCTCTCACTCCTGCGACAGCACAAGTATAAGGTCAACTTAGAGAAGTGTGAATTTGGTCGCACTAAGATACTATACTTGGGTCAAGAAGTATCCGCGGAGGGAATTAGGCCGGAAGATGCGAAGGTGGCTAGTATTCGAGATTGGCCACGACCTCAGACGGTCACTGAGGTCAGATCATTCTTAGGAATGTGCGGCTACTATAGGAACTTCGTAAAGAACTATTCTACAATCGCCTCTCCTTTGACTGATCTAACTCGACTTGACACACCGTGGGACTGGAGTGATGAGTGCGAGGGTGCTTTCAAGAGATTGAAGCATGCACTCATGAATCATGAGGTTCTCATGGTTCCCGATCCTCAGAAGCCATTCATAGTGACCACTGACGCAAACCAATATGGCATTGGCGCAGTGCTGGCTCAACAGGATGGGAAAAAGTTGAAACCGATTGAGTACATGACCAAGAAGATGCCATCAAAGAAGTTGGCAAAGTCCACCTATGAAAGGGAACTCTACGCTCTATACAAAGCACTTGTCCATTGGAGACACTTCCTATTGGGAAGATTCTTCTACTTAAGGACTGATCATCAGACCCTCAAATGGATCAAGACTCAACCGGCTCTTTCTGATGCACTCAAGTGATGGATTGAGGTCATAGATCAATATGACTTCAAGCTTGAGTATCTGAAGGGGGAGTACAACAAGGTTGCAGATCTGTTTGCACGTATGTGAAGCAAAGAAGAAAGCGAGTCTGATTGCATCGGTATCAGAGCTGGTTCCCGTTATCCCACGCGCCATCGCCGTTGCCAGCAGGAAGAGACGCGCGCCAATTAGGCGCCATAGCTGAGGTGCACCATCGGAGAAGAGGAGTCCGCCATAGCTGCGCTGTGGAAGGAGGTGCCGCGTACCTGCAAGGAAGGCACTACGAAGAGAGAGAGAGAGAGAGAGAGAGAGAGAGAGAGAGAGAGAGAGAGAGAGAGAGAGAGAGAGAGAGAGAGAGAGAGAGAAAGAGGAGTGATACAAGATTGGTTGTGCGGTCCAAGACAGGAGGTGGCGGCCATAACCGCCGAAGCTCGAACACGGAGTTACCAAGAAGAAAGAAGACGAAGGAGGGAGAGACGAAGGAGAGAGAAGCCATAGCCGAGGAAGGAGAAGGGAGAGACGAAGAAGGGAAAAAGAAGACACAACCGGGGTGAAGGAAGAAGAAACTGAGAAAGAAGGAAGGAGGGAGAAAGAGAATAACGAAGGTTGGTGAGGAAGAAAGGGGTCGGCAATCATAGCCGATATCAACGTTGACCAAGGAGTTGACCGGGGCTGACCAGACCATTGACCGAGGAAGTTGACCATGGTTGACCAAGGCAATGACCGGGGTTGACCGAGGTGTTGACTGAGGGGTTGACCGGCGTTGACCACGATGTTGACCGGGAAGTTGACCGGCGATGACCAGCGTTGACCGGAGCTGCTGACCACGAATTTGACCAAGCCGGAGCTGGTATATTATCGCCAAACCTTCAGCCTACCCTCATGCCCTATGGATGTGCACTCACCCCACGGTACTTGTTGAGTCTGTTTGTCTCTTCTTTCTAGATTGAGTCTCTTATGTCCAGGTGATAGGAACTCTGTGTATGAGGTCGTAGAGCTTTGTTGACCAAACCCACACGGGCTGAGTAGGGATAAAGGCTGTGTCTAACGACTGACTGACCCGGAGGACAAACCCTCCCAAGGACCGGTACAGACCGGCGGCCTGCTCAGTGTGGCATGGTAGGCCAAAAATCCGAGCTCTGGGCTGCACAACAAGCTGTCTAAGTCTTGAGAGGACTTGCTGATTGCGCCGTCTTGTCTGCGACATTAAATAATTCATGAGGAGTTACGGGGGATCTCCTTAAATGCCTCCTGATCAGCAGTAAGTCCTGTAGTGACAGCCGTAGTTTTAGGTCTAGGCTAGAGACCATAGTTGATAGGATCTTACCAAGATTTTGTGGTCCTTAGTTGAGTCAGTCCTAAGTTAAGTCAGTCAGGGTTGAGAGTCTAAGTGGTGAGGAGTGGAACTGATTCTCGGTTGTACATCTTTCACCATGGTTGACCTATGTAGTGGCAAGAGTACCACCCCTTATACCAAGGCTCAGGAAGAGCAAGCCGCCATCGTACTTAAAGAGAAAAGAGAAGGAGGCTAAGGAGTTGATTAGGCAGGCCAAAAAGTTGGCCTTACTGGAGGAGCAGGCGGCGAAGAGGAAGAAGTTGGAGGAGGAAATGGAGAGATTGAAGAAGGAGGACGAAGAGAAGATGAAAGCAGTAGATGAGGAGGAGATAGAAGAGGAAAAGGAGGAGGAGTCACTGATCAGGAGAAGCACCAGGGAAAAAGGGGAATCTAGTGGCACGAAGAAGGAGTCATGGATAGAGAAGAAAGTTTTTGAGAGGGTGGCAAACTTGTCCTTGGGGGAAGAAGAGGATGTAATGTTGTATGTTCCCCGGGAGGAGCAGGAAGCGGTTGTGAAGGAGCTGGAGGCAGAAGAGGATCCCTTGAGATGCCAGACAATAGAGGAAGAGAAGAACTTGCAATGGAAGTTGCGTCTTACCAGGGAGAAGAAAAGAAGGATGAACGAGGTGAGTAGAATGGCGAAGGAGTTGGAAGTAATAAAGGAGCAGAGAGAGCAGATTCAGGCATAGGTAGATATACAAGGAAAATTTGATATCATTACACGAAACATCGAACTCCTGGCTAGAGCCTGGGATGAGCAACATCAGTTTGCTAGGGCCCAGGACATAACACTACACTCCATTTGTCTGGGTTTTAGGGACTTTGCACGTGAGATGATGCTACACGTAGGTGCAGAAATGCAAGCGAGAATAGATGTCTATTTGCAGAAGATTGTAGCTGAGGAACAAGTCCTCATTGCCTTTCAAGCCCTCAAAGACGAAGCAGCCAGCTTCGCCAGACTGCTCGCTCGCGCTGCACAGTGCGAAAACAAGATGGTCGCTTATTCTAAGATTACTCCGCTTCCTGAATTCCTTAGACTGCTTAAGGAACGATTTGCAGATGTTAGTCGAGGCATAAGGGGCTCAGACAAGCTGCAAACCATTCACTCGCGCCAATGGAGGAGTGCAAGGGCACTCAAGGGCATTATGGACGAGCTAGTAGCCGTCCCAGACCACGGGGTCACTGAGACCCAGTTGGTCAACTTATTTTATCGTGTCATGCCCGAGCCCCTGCGCGAGCACTTCTTCGAGAAGAGTAGACAACCCACCATGACTTACGGTACGTTGAGTAGAGAGGTGGTGGTGTTCGAAGCACAGTCCATACCAATTTCCACTTTCTGGCATAAAGACTTGGACAAGGGTAAAAAGTGGAAAGGTCGTACCATCTCTGGTCAAGTTAGGGCCAAGGATCATTTGATCCTCACTTTAGATGAAGGTGGTATGGATGAGGTCCCATATAGCCAGATTGAGTGGGGCCTAGAGGAAGAGGACAGTAGTGGGGGTCAGGGGAGGACCTACGCTGCTGTCGCGGCTGGAGGGAGGCCGCAAGGAAGAGGAGGCCAAGGCCAAGGGGGTCGGGCCTCGGGTGGCCAAGGACAGGGCGCTCAGGGGGTTGGCGGCAAAGGAAACCCCCAAGAGGGAGGTAGAGGTCAAGGTCCCTTGCCAAATCGTCCGTGTTCTTATCGGTCAGCCCCAAGAAGGAGTGGATGGCACCCGGGCTTGCCGCAAGGCAGACCATGGGAAGATTTGGGCGTGGAACAGTCAGTTTGACAGCGACGTGTAGATCAAGATCAGTGCATTTATTGCGGTGACCCTGACGACATAATCAAATACTGTCCAAAGTATAGAGAAGCCCGTTATGCTGCACAAGCAGCAAAAGGCAACCACCGGTAGGGGTCACAACTGCCCTTACCCCTAGGCCATGTGGAGAAGAGTGCGCACACCACAGAGGAACTCCCAAACCACATGAGCCTACGACAGAGGTTGCTAGCCAGTACCTAGACAGTTGTCCAAAGACTGTTTGTGTTAGAGTCTCTCTGGGTACTTCCCTCACAGACGTGGCAAAAGAATTGAAGGAGAGGATGCCTGCCTGGGCCAAGATGAAGAAAGATGCGAAAGGACAACTAGTGTTAATAGATGTTGAGATTTTTAGAGGACGAGTAGGGGCCCTTATAGACAGTGGGGCCACTCACAACTATATTAGTAGGAAAGCGCTGCAGAAGTTAAAGCTGAATTTGAAAGTCCAAAAGCTAAAAGACCCTATAGTTAGTATCCTCGCAGACAATTGCACTATGCGAGTCGAGGATTACGTTGAGGGAGTCCAGGCGTACTTTTTCTTCGAGAAGGATGGGAAGGTGGAGAAAGTTCTCCATTCCCTGACTCTCCTCGTAGAGGACAACCTTCCTTTCGACATGGTCCTAGGAATGAACTGGGGAGAGGCAGCAGGGGCCACACTCCATTTGAGAGAGCATGAGTGTAGGCTCCCTAGTCCAACAGGTGAAGTTAAGACTGCTCGCCTGTTTCATGCGTCAGGAGTAGACAACTCTCTGGCACATTGCTGTCTCAGTGCTCCTGCGTTCGCGCGTCTGGTAAAGGAGCAATTAGAAGAGTAGGTTTTTGTAGCCTATGTTAGGCTTGTCACTGGGCCTAAAGAAGAGAAACCAATAAACCCTGCTATTGCCAAGCTGCTGGAGGAGTGTACAGACCTAGTTAAGTCGCCGACAGGAGTAGTGCTGCGGCCGATCCAGCATCGCGTAGAGATAGAGCTTGGCAGCAGGACTCCGAAGGGAGCCATCTATAGAATGTCCCAAGGGAGTTAGAGGAGTTGCGTAAGCAGTTGGATAAGCTCTTCGAGAAGGGTTGGATTAGGCCCAGCTCATCTCCATTTGGAGCACCTGTTCTTTTTATCCCCAAAAAGGAGGGAGAGCTCAGGATGTGCATAAACTATAGAGGTCTCAACGTCGTCACAATAAGGAATGCAGAACCGCTGCCCCGTATAGATGATCTATTAGATCGGGTGCAGGGCTGCAAGTATTTTTCGAAGATAGATTTAAAGTTTGGTTATCATCAGATAGAAGTCCACATTGATGACCAGTATACGACGACGTTCCGGACGAGATACGGACACTACGAGTTTATAGTCATGCCCTTTGGACTAACCAACGCGCCAACGACATTCCAACGCTGTATGAATGATTTGTTTAGGCCGTGGTTAAATAGATTCGTTGTAGCGTATTTAGATGACATTTTAGTCTTTAGCAAGACCCTCCAGGAGCATGAGGGCCATCTGAGGCAGGTCTTGGAGAAGCTAAGAGAAGCTAACTTCAAGATCAACGCAAAGAAGTGTGAATGGGCCAAGACACAGGTTTTGTATTTGGGCCATGTCTTAGATGGAGACGACATAAAACCTGAAGACAGCAAGATAGCAGCGATTAGAGATTGGCCAACGCCCCGCACATTGACAGAGTTGCGGTCGTTCTGAGGCCTAACCAATTATTACAGAAAGTTCGTCATGAGTTTCTCCACCATCGCTGCACCCTTCGAGGCTGCTAAAGAAAGAAGCAATCTGGAAGTGGGACAAAGACTGTACATCGGCCCTGAAGAAGTTGAAGCGGGCTTTGATCGAGTATCCAGTCCTTAAGGTAGCCGATACTCCCTGCCTTTCGTTGTTACCACTGACGCGAGTCAGTATGGCATAGGTGTTGTTTTACAGCAAGATGATGGCAATGGGTATAGGCCCGTAGAGTTCATGTCTGCCAGGATGCCTTTAGAGAAGGTAGCGACATCCACCTATGAGAGTGTCTGCCAGGATGCCTTTAGAGAAGGTAGCGACATCCACCTATGAGAGGGAACTCTACGCTCTCAGGCAAGCACTAGAGCACTGGAATCATTACGTACTTGGGGGGCACTTCAAAGTCTATTCAGACCACGAGACTCTAAGGTGGTTGAAGACACAGGCCAAGATGACACCTAAGCTTACTAGGTGGGCCGCAGATATGGATCAGTATGACTTTGAACTTAAGCCAGTAAAAGGGAAGTACAATGTAGTTGCGGACGCTCTAAGTAGGAGGGCTGATTACTTTGGAGCGATAGTTCACTATCTGGATATAGGGAGAGACCTGCAGCAAAAAGGTAGAGAAGCGTATGTGCAGGATCCTATCTATAGTGACCTCCTCAAGAGAGTTAAGGAGGCCCCAGAGTCTGAACCAAATTACCGCACTACTGATGGGTTACTACTCGAGAAGACTAATGTAGTTGACTGTTTGTGTGTTCCTAACAGTGAGGAGATCCGTAGTTTGATCTTAGGGGAATGCCACGACATAGAGGGACACTTTGGTTGGCAAAAGACACTAGCCAACCTCATGCACGTGTATACATGGCCCGATATGAAGGCCGACTGCATAGAGTATGTACGCAGTTGTAAAGTCTGTCAAAGAAACAAGACTACTACGCGAGCCCCTCTCTGTCTTCTCAAAGCCTTGCCTATTCCTGACAGACCCGAAGACTCTGTGTCCATTGACTTTATGGATGCTAGGGTCAAGAGTAGGCATGGCAAGAGTCAAGTCATGGTCATAGTGGATAGGTTTAGCAAGTATGCAGTTGTTATTCCATTGCCTGCAGAGGCACGGACAGACTTAGTAGCTCGGAAGTTCTTTGACCATTGGGTCAGTGAACATGGTATACCGCTGTCAATAGTTAGTGACAGAGACACCAGGTTCACCCATCAGAACTGGCAGGAACTGATGAAAGTTTACGGTTTAAAGCTATTGATGTCATCTGGCCGTCATGTTGAGACTAACGGTCAGACTGAACAGATGAACAAGATCCTGCAACAAGTTCTTAGAATGTACATTAGGCCTGACCAGATCAACTGGGATGAGATGCTTCCAAAGGTAGCCAGTGCATACAATAACAGCATGCACTTAGCCACATGTCGCACTCCCAACGAACTGCACAAGTCCTTTAGACCGCGCAGACCATTTGAGGGACTTAACCGGGATCAGATTCAGAGGCTACCGCCCGATACACGAGAGTTTGCGATACAGCACGAGAAAGAGATAGCTACCGTTGTAGATAACCTCAGGAAAGCCCAGCACAAAATGATAAAGCAAGCTATTAAGCAACGTCGCCCCTCACAGTTTCAAGTAGGCGACTTAGTCTGGGTCAAGTCAAAAGAGTTCGCTCCTGAGGAGAACATCTCGCAGAAATTACTGCCTGCATATCGAGGACCATGGCCAGTCTTAGAAGTCAAGGGCGGAGAGGATGGTCCATCCTACAGCATTGAGATTCCAGCACACCTCCACACCTACCCAGTGTTCCATGCGTCGAAGCTGTTGCCTTGTATCACCAGTCAACAGTGTCCATCACGGAGATCCATGATTCCCCCGGATATGGATGGAAGATACGACATTGACGGCATAGTAGGTGAGGATGTCTTCAGAACAGGAGGTAGAGGTCGTCCACAGAAACAGTACAAAGTTAGATTCTCCTTTCAAGAGCCAGAAGACGACCGCTGGTTCACGCGAACAGAACTTCTAGAGACAGCTCCCGATATAGGCCGAGCCTACGAGAGAGATAAGAAGGGTAAAGGTCCTGCCTTAGACTGAAGTATTCTCAGAGGACCTCGAATTTAGGCCGGCGGGAGTGAAACGGTTTTCACCTTTTTGCAGTCACAGATGCGGGCCCTAGAGTTCGATCCCCAGAACTTACCTTACCCATGTACAGTATCGAGTTGACCCCTGAGTGTTTGAACCCGCGACCTGTGTTTTGGTAGTTGGTTGTTGTCTGTCGTAGGTCTGTGCAGATGTAGGGGTTCGATCTGTAGATATGTCGAGTAAGGGTTATAGCTGTGTAGAGGTCGAAACTGCTAGGCTAGAGGTCTGTAGGTGAGTCGTAAGTCCAACTGCGTCGAGTCGGCAGTGCAACCCCATGCAGTCAGCGGTACCGGTCCCAGTCATACTCAGTCCAGTCAAGCAAGTACCGTGTCGGACTGTGTGCACCAAGGACCTGGTGGAAAGGGGCAGCCCAGCGGCCAACAGAAGTATAAATCAAGAGTCAGCGTCCAGCAATTGATTCATTCGCTGCATGAGCCATGCGGAAGCGCTGCCCCAGCATCTTGTGCGAGGTGGTCTGCAGAGCGCCCGGAGTCGAAGTGGGCTGGAAGAAGATAGCGTAGCCATAGTTAGGAGTTGCGCGGCCATAGCCGCTGCAGGTAGGAGAGAGGCGTTAGTGTGTGAGTGTGTGATACAGTGAATGTGTGTGGGGTATTCAGGGTGATCCAGAGTTGAGTATGGGCGAACAGTGGTGTTGGACACAGTATCGAGAGTCGGGATGTACAGGCGCAGATGCGCCATAGCCTGTTGAAGCAAGTTTGCATCGAAACTGTGTTCTCGACTTCCATATCTCTGAGTTTTGAGTGGGCGCTGGGCGCCAGTGTGAATCGCCATCTGTCTGCATGTATGCGAAGCAAAGAAGAAAACGAGTCTGATTGCATCTCTCTCTCTCTCTCTCTCTCTCTCTCTCTCTCTCTCTCTCTCTCTCTCTCTC